TTTCTGGCTATAGTAACTTGAATGCCCAAATTAAACTTTTCCCCCAAGTCTAACTAAAACCCTGTTTTCAAAAGATTTTCTAAAAAGGCATACATTCACAAATGGATGAGGGGACAACAGCACCCATCTTTTTGAATCTGGAAGCAGTTGCCAGAGACGACTAAGCAGACCTGAAAGCTAAGCCCTTATCCGGGGATAGGAGAGCTGAGCGGCAACCCAGTTTACACCACAGGCATTGGCCATGATCGCTATGAGGATGAAGGATTCAGTTGTTACAGAATTTCTTTAAATATATATGTATAACTCCTCATCAGTCAACTTGAGTGTTATTAAACTTCAAAGGAGAAAATAATTGTACTGGGTTGGGTTCCTTGGGGTTGTTGCTGGGGGCGAAGAATTGAGGTAGCATTTAAAATAAATAGGCAGGAAGGATATAGAATGGGAGGAGCAGTCCGAGGGGAAGGTATGGCCTGAGAAAAAGCGTAAGGAACATTCTAAGATTACACAGTGGTGATGGGCACACTGAGCGTCCTGACGTAAGCCTTATACAAGGTACTAGTGTAACAAAAACATGTGTACCCCCTTAATATTTTGAAATTTTAAAAAAAGATTATGCAGTGAATTTCTTTTGCAGCCTGTGAATCACAATCTAGTGAATATATGCATTTAAGACTACTTTAATAACCAAAGATAATTGAAAATAATTTTTTTTCCACATTTCTCAGCAGATACTAAAGTAGACCCAAGTGTGTCCTCCAGAGCAACATTTATTAAACTCCCATTTCCTCTCCTGTTTATTTCTTTCACACCACATAGCTACTCTGAGAGACTCTTGGAAATCTGTGACAAAAATAACTTCTCCACTCCTAGCATTAAAGACTCTTGTTTTCTTCTCTTTCCCTTCTCCTGCAGCACTTTATTATGGAGATTAACTTAGCCTTCCAGCTGCAACCAGGAAAAAAAAAATTCCTTCCATTTTTAGACAGAGGGAAAATATGTTGACAGAGAGGATTCTCTTTGGTGAATTAGGGAAGGGAAATCTGTAAATTTTCCTGCATTCAAAATTGTTTGATCCATCATGAAGGGAACTGCAAGTAGTTCTGCTTGTCTGGGCAGAGGCATAGATGATAGTATCTAGGACAATGTGGACACCAGCCAGCCAAAATGGCCCCAGTCAAAGTGGACACAAACCATCAAATCATGCTAGGACATAAGTACTGGGTATAAAATCATGAAGTTATGACAGTCCCATATAGACTTGATCATTCTGCCTGCCTTTCTGTGGATTTTTCATTAGGACAGTTTTAGGACCATTTAGCTGATAGTGACCTACTGCTTTACTTACACATTCAACATTACAGCTTATAGTCAGTGTTATAACTTTGTCATTCTA